ACAAATTCTTTAGTTTTTAATTACTTCTTTGGGTTTTAGACCAAAAATCTGAATCATTTTTTGCGGTGGTTACTTTGCTTTTTGGACTAATTCATATTCTTGAAATAAAAAATGTTTCTTCCCGAAAGAAGGCACCACAGCGTGGGATAATGATTAATTATAACCCCGCCCTCCCTAATTGATCTGTAGGCAAAGACTATAGCCTCAATTTCCTGCTTGGCTGTTTTGCTGAAATAATTTTTTTCTTCTTTGCAATTGTATATGTTTTATTAATACCTTTAACACTAGGATGGCCGAGGTGTCGTTTTCGACACCTTCAAATTTTCAAGAAATTCCTATGGAATAACTGGTTTTGGTTCGATGCTGAGGCTTATGGACAATTATTGAATTTTAGCAAAGATGCTTAACAGACTTAATTCTTTAAAAAATAATTCAGTGGAATAGCTGATATTTGAGGTTTTACCTGGAATGGCCGAGGTGTCGTTTTGACACCTAGGCTATTTATCTATCTACACACACAAAAAAAGTTATATATATATATATATATATATATATATATATATATATATATATAAATCACTTTCTTTCAGGATGAGGTATACTAATATTTGTGAATTTCTTTTTCAGACTTGTTATTCCTGACTTGAATATTGAATATATTAAAGATGGCTGCTACACGGCGTAATGTAAATAAAGATGTCAAAGAAACTGGCATCCTAGGGTTAATGTGTCTACTGTCTAATTTTCTTGAAATACATGCGTCTTCTTTTTCTTTTCTTTTTTTTTTTTTTTTTTTTTTTGGTGTATTAGGAATGCGCCTCGATGTGAGATAATGGTTTACGGGGTTATATCTAGAAGTTAGTCTAGTGTTTCGACAACCAATTTCGTGTACCTTCAGGACATAAGCAATCATGGCTCACCACAATTTCCTGTTCTTCGTAGCTCTTAATAAATTTTGTCTTTTTTATTATTTCTCCTAAACCCTTTTCCGCTGTCTATTTACTCAAGCTCTCTAGGTGAGTTGTATGTTTTTTCCTCTGTCCCACCCCCCATCTTGCTTTCAATATCTCCTGTGAGTATCAGATTTTCCAAGCTCTCTTTCCTCATTATGTGATCTAGAAATTTGAACTCTCTTTCTGATGTTAAGTATGTTTCCTTTTTGTTTCCATTTTCTTTAAAACCTCGTCGTTTCTCACATGTTCGGTCCATGGTATTCTCAGCATCCTTCTGTAGAACTACATTTTTGTTGATTAAAGTTCCTTTTTCATCTTTAAGGAAATTGTCCAGCATTCACTACCATATAGGAGGAAGACTCATATCACGTAACAGTTCAGTACAATATTCTTTGTTTCTAGATATTTAAATTTTTGTATTTCTTTGATTTTGGTATCTTGCATTTTGTGAACAACCATACATTCTGTCTTCTTGCAATTGATGCGTAGTCCTTTGTTCTCGCCTTCCTTTACTACCTTCTCAACTAAATTGTTGTACTTGTTTGATTTTGGTATCTCCAATTTGTAATTTGTATGTTGGACTATTCCTTTTTGCTGGTAACCATGCATTCTATCTTCTTGTATTTGAGATGTATTTCGTTTTTCTGACTTCCCTTCACTATATTTTGTAGGATTTTTTTGTAGTTTTCTTTCCGCGTCAGCTATCAACACTGTGCCATCTGCATACACTATGATGTTAATATTGTGGCCATCAATAGTGAATCCTTGTAGGATATCTGATTCTCTCAGAATCGCCTCACTGTATAAGTTGAATAAGTCCGGTGAGAAGACCCACCCTTGTCTTACACCCCTTTGTATATCGGCGGAACACATTTTGTATCCGTATACAAGCGGTTTGCCCTTGCGCTCGATAGAAGTATTATTATCGTGCTGGGATAAAGCATTTTCACAACGAAAATTGTTTAGGAGAGATAGCAAAAAGACAAAATTTAATAAATGCTACAAAAGGCAGGAAATTGTGGAGAGCCATGATCGCCAACGTCTTGAAGGGACACAGCACGTAGAAGCAGAAGAAGAATGAGCTTGTGTAAATAGACGGTGGAGCAAAGGTTTAGGAGAGATAGCAAAAGACAAAATTTAATAAATGCTACAAAAGGCAGGAAATTGTGGAGAGCCATGATCGCCAACGTCTTGAAGGGACACAGCACGTAGAAGCAGAAGAAGAATGAGCTTGTGTAAATAGACGGTGGAGCAAAGGTTTAGGAGAGATAGCAAAAAGACAAAATTTAATAAATGCTACAAAAGGCAGGAAATTGTGGAGAGCCATGATCTCCAACGTCTTGAAGGGACACAGCACGTAGAAGCAGAAGAAGAATGAGCTTGTGTAAATAGACGGTGGAGCAAAGGTTTAGGAGAGATAGCAAAAAGACAAAATTTAATAAATGCTACAAAAGGCAGGAAACTGTGGAGAGCCATGATCGGTGGAGCAAAGGTTTAGGAGAGAAAATAAAAGACAAAATTTATTAAAGGACAAGAAACCAGCGAGCACAGTTTGTATTCTGGTCAAGTTCGTTTTGCGTTGATCGACTACACATACGCACAAATCGAGAGAAGAATCTGCAATGTTATCGGTCCTGACCTAGCATCCAGGCTTGAATCCCTTCCCAACCACCATACCTTTTCTATATTTTAATGGCCTTCCACTTGGTTACCTCGATGACTTTCATGAATTCAAGTGTACTACTAGATTGGTAGCTAGATATGATCATTTTACTTATTCAATTACTAAATGTCACCGTAATTTCTATTCTGATAGTTTCTTCCTTCACACTTCTCGCTTGTGGAAATATCTTCCGGCTTCTTGTTTCCTCACCACATACGATCTTCAAAAATTTAATTAAATTGTGAACTTTTCTTGTTTACTCTCTCCTCGATAACGTATTTCACACCCAGTAACCCCCCTTGCGTCTTAGGGGCTTTATCGCTTTGCTTGAGGTGAAATGAAACAAAAAAATGAAAGAAACCTAAATGAAAAGAAAAATGAAATATAATGACATGAAAGAAAAAATTATGATGATGGCACTTTCGACCAGGCGCCCACTTTCGGACACGCACCTTCTTTCGGTCACTCAGTCGCACGCTTCTCGTCGTGGAACTCTACCCCCCCCTTTCACACCATTATAAAGATATTCCCAACTTACACAATACACTGCGGACGGGCTGCATCCACAGACTCATACGTTCTTCTTCTCATCCAAATTTGATCGTCTGCCCGAAACGTGAAAAATGACTCATCTAACAAGGTGACATGGTCTCAATTTTCCACGGTTCAACGGCATTGTTCCCTGGCTCAAACAACATACAAGAAATGATTTTTTCTTTTTCTTCTTTGTGCCGTATCGTTTCAGGACATGAGCGATCATGGCTCTCCACTACTTACCGCCCTTCGTAATCCCAAATAACGTTTGTTCCTTCATCACACATGTTCGGCTATCCATTTGGTTACACGCTAACCCTAAACCTAACATTCAACATGTCTCGTGAATGCTAAATTGTCGAAGCTCTGTTTCATCATTATGTGTACTAGAAATGTAAATTACTCTTTTTAAGTAAGTTCACGTTTACTTACCATCTCTCAGTTGCGTCTCTGTCCTTGGACAGAGTGCGCTCAGGGGCTTCTCTGTCAAGGAGAGAGGGGCAACTGAGGAAGATAATATTTAAGAGGTGCCCAGCCCTGGGGAACAGCTGCCCAAGGTTGCGCCCTCCCATTGCACCAGAGGGAGGGACTGGTGCACGCGCAGAGGCCAGAGCAATCGACGGTTGCAGGGGCTGAGGGCAATTTTTGTTTCTGTCCCGGGTGTACGTGCTCGGTTCCCCACCTAAAAATAGATCTTGTGTCACATATCGTCTAAGTGTGTGTGTGGGGGGGGAGCAAATACCGTGTGTACTAGAAATTACAATTTTTTTTAATCATTTCACCCCAATCAAGGAAATAATGCCATTAAGACGCAAGGGGTTAGTGGAATGAAAGAGAACGAGAAGTCTTTAGTGAGGAGAAAGAACACTAAAAGAACAGGATTCAGGAAGACAGAAGATGGCGATTGGCGTGGAATTTACATTTTTGGAGATTGTAGGTGGCAGGGAAAGAAGAAATCATTAGAATAGAACTTACGGATATATCTAGCTAATTCAACAGTAAAACGGTGAGACCTAATTGCCACTCTAGTCGTACGCTTAAAATCATGAAGTCGAGGTTAAATGGGAGAAACTTTATAAGAACAATTGCCATGAAAATATTTAGAAAAAAAGTCAGAGGGAAGTTATGTTACGGAAGTGCAAAAGTGACTAACTTCGACAGCCAGGTCAGGATCGATTATATTACGGAGGCTTCTTTCGATTTTGTCGAGAATCACGTGATACATAGAAGAGGAACAGGACCAGATATGGTAGCAATATTCATTGCACAGAAGAATGGCAGATTTATAAATGCCTTTTCGTTCCCATTTTTCTTAAAGATTACTCCATTCCTGGTATTCTCAGCATCCTAGTGACTCGTCTTCATCTGCGGGGAAATTGTCCAGCATCTTCTCCTATATAGGAGTATTGATATTGCATAGCAATTCAACAAAGGTGTTACTCTATTTACACATCCGCTGTGTTTCTTACTCCTCCCGATATTTTTTCGAGCATTGGTCATTCTTTTTTTTTCTTTTTTTTTTTTCTTTTTCTAACAGCCAGAAAACCTGTCAGGTTCAAAGTTAAAAGAGCTGAAACAAAGCAGGTATTGGGATGTAGGTCTTCTATTAAACTCTGAGGGTTTAGAATCATTCAGCGTAGCATGTGAGGTTCATTTTGTCTCTTTGGGAAGCTGAGCGGAGCTAGAAGCCTGATAAAGATAATAGGTAAAGTGGAATGTTCACACATGGTCGGTGGTCGGGAGATAGGTTTGTGATATGAACGGTGAGGGAAAGAAATTCCATTTCAGAGAAAGGTGCGAAGTAGAAGAAGTAATAATAATAATAATAATAATAATAATAATAATAATAATCAGACGGAACGAATAAAGAGATGAGAAAAGTTTGAGAGTGCATAATAATTAGAAGAAAACAAAACACCAGGAGAGAAGAAGAGGGGTGGGAGGAAGTAAGAAGAACTTGATAGAAGTGGAAGGAGGACGAAGTGAAAGAAGTAAAAGGTAGAGTTATTGAATAGTGTTTTCAAGGAAGTAGGAGGGGTAGTATCAAAGTGATAATAAGGAGGTTCGAGGTAAAAGGGGGAGGAGAGAGAGAGAGCGGTGCGAAAAAAAAAAGGAATAAACATAAGCAGTGAAGAAGCGAAAACGTACATCGAAAGTGTGAGAGTGGGAGGCAGGCGAGGGAAAGAAGTAGGAAGAGGAGATAATGAAACGACAGAGGATTGCATGACCTGGAGGAAGAGAAAAAGGATGAAAGATGGAGTGATGTGTGAAAAGAAAACAAAGAGAAACGAGGGAAAGAAATATGGATGTGGAAAAAAGAAAAAGAAAAAAAAAGAAAAGCGAGTAAAATATCCAGACATTAGACAAAAGAAAGAAAGAAAGAAAGAACGAAATTTGGCGGTGAGAAAGCGAAAAAGAGATGGAAAAGGAATATGGAGGTATCAAAGAGAGCAAGAAAAGGAAGAGTATAGAAAGAGAAGGGGAAGAATAGAGAAATAAATACAGAGGTAACCAATGGAATAAGAGACGAAGGAAGAGGAGAGAATGAAATATGGAGGCGTCAAGAGAGTAAGGGGAGAAGAAAGAGTAAAGAAAGAGAAGAAGGAATAGTAGATAAAGAGAAGAAAGAAGAGTAGAGAAAGAAATACGGAGGTGACCAACCGAGTAAGAAAGGAAGAAAGAGTAGAGAAAGAGAAGAAGGAAGAGTGAATAAAGAGAAGAAGGAAGAGTAGAGGCAAATAAGAAGGCTGAGTAGAGAAAGAAATGAAAGAAGAGTAGAGAAAGATAAGAAGGCAGAGTAGGGAAAGAAAGGAAGGGAGAGTAGAGAAAGATAAGAAGGCAGAGTAGGGAAAGAAAGGAAGGGAGAGTAGAGAAAGATAAGAAGGCAGAGTAGGGAAAGAAAGGAAGGGAGAGTAGAGAAAGATAAGAAGGCAGAGTAGGGAAAGAAAGGAAGGGAGAGTAGAGGAAGATAAGAAGGCAGAGTAGGGAAAGAAAGGAAGGGAGAGTAGAGAAAGATAAGAAGGCAGAGTAGAGAAAGAAAGGAAGGGAGAGTAGAGGAAGATAAGAAGGCAGAGTAGGGAAAGAAAGGAAGAGAGAGTAGAGGAAGATAAGAAGGCAGAGTAGAGTGGGTGGTAAATAAGAAGAGAAAAAAAAGAAGAGAAAATTATGAGTAACAATGAAAACTTGAAAGTGTGGGGAAGAAATAAGAATGACATAAAAGAGTGATTTAATAAAGAAAGTGAATAATGAAGGAAACGAATAATGAAGAAGAAAAATAAAAGAGATTATCAAGAATGAAAGAACGGAATGAGATTAATAATTACGGAAAAGATGAAAGGGAAAAAAAAGAAAGAATTAAGAAAAGAAATAAATAAAAACGTTAAAAACAAAAAGAAATACAAAATTAGACATAAAAAATGAAAATATTTGGGTAAAGAAGAAAAACGAAAAAATGAAGTAAAAAGAGGAAAGATTGAAAGAAAGAAAAAGGGAAGAAAAATAAAAAGCAAGGAAAGACGAGAAAGAAAAAAAATCAGATGAAAGAAAGAAAACAATGGAGAAATGAAAAAAAATGAAATTAGATAAAAGAAAGAAAAAAGAATGGAAAAGACAGGAAAAAAAGAAAAAAGAAAGAAAGATAAAATGAAAGACAGATGAAACAAAAATGAACGAATGAAAAAGAAACAGAGTGGGAAATGAAAAAGTAAAAGAAAGAAAGAAAGAAAGAAAGAAAGAAAGAAAGAAAGAAAGAAAGAAAAACACGGAAAAACGAGAAAGAAATTCAGATAAAAATAAGAAGAAAGGCGAAAAAGAAAAACAGGAAGGAAGGAAGGAATTAAATAAAAAAGAAAAAGAAGGGAAAAGAAACATGAGAAAGAAAAAAAGATGAAAAGCGAAAGAAAAACTGGAAAATGAAAAAGAAAAGAAAATGGGAAAGAAAAAATATGAAAGAAAGAAAGAAAGAAAGAAAGAAAGACATGAAAGAGAAGAAAAAAAGGAAGAAAAGAATGAAAGAAAAGTAAAACTGGGAAAGTCATGTAAGAGAAAGAAGCGGACAAGGAAATACATACGAAATTAAATAAGAAATGATTTAAGAAAAAACATCGGAGGAAAAGAGAGGAAATGTATGAAATTAAAACGTGGTAATGTTATTGTGAGAACGAAAGAAGTGGAAGTATTACGGAGAGAAAGAGAAAAGAGAAAGTATTACTGAGAGAAAGGGAGAATGGGAAGTATTACGAAGAGAAAGGGAAAAGAGAAATATTACTGAGAGAAAGAGAGAAGTGGAAGTATTACGAAGAGAAAGAGAAAAGAGAAAGTATGACTGAGAGAAAGGGAGAATGGGAAGTATTACGAAGAGAAAGGGAAAAGAGAAATATTACTGAGAGAAAGAGAGAAGTGGAAGTATTACGAAGAGAAAGAGAAAAGAGAAAGTATGACTGAGAGAAAGGGAGAATGGGAAGTATTACGAAGAGAAAGGGAAAAGAGAAATATTACTGAGAGAAAGAGAGAAGTGGAAGTATTACGAAGAGAAAGAGAAAAGAGAAAGTATGACTGAGAGAAAGGGAGAATGGGAAGTATTACGAACAAAAAAGGGAAAAGAGGAAATATTACTGAGAGAAAGAGAGAAGTGGAAATATTACGGAAAGAAAGCGAAAAGAGAAAGTATTACTGAGAGAAAGAGAGAAGTGGAAGTATTACTGAGAGAATGATTGAAATGGCAGTATTATTGTGAAAACGAGAGAAGTGTTGTCGTGAAAGAGGACAATAAATTAACAGGAATTGAAAAGGCACATAATATTCATTGACATTCCATTTAAATTTTTGATGATCAATGTTGACTGGGGAGCAATTGGTCAAAACGGAGTTCCACAAGCGAGGAGTGCGCAAGAAGAAACTCTTTGCATATAACTTCCGGTTACATCTAGCAATTTAAACTTTAAATGATGGGACCTAGCTTCCAATCCAGTACTGCGCTTATTTTATAAATCTAGGTACAAAAGAGGATAGCTCATTAGAATAGTTACTATGAAAGTATTTATAGAAAAGACACAGCAAACTTACGTTTCGGCTGTGGGAAAGATACTGAAACCGATATGCCAGTTCAGGATCAATAATATTGCTGATTTTATTTGTATTTTTCAATCTTGACCGGATGCAAGTAACCTGAAGAGAGTTCCACAAGTGAGAAGTGCGAGAAAAGTAACTTTTAGCATAGAACTTACGGTTATATATAGCCTTTTCAACTGTAAAATGATGAGACCTAACTGCCAATCTAGTACTGTGCTTAAATTCATAAAGTCTAGGTACCAAAGAGGATAGCTCATCAGAATAATTACCATGAATATACTTATCAGATTAAGAAACTGTTAGCATAGAACTTATGGTTACATCTAGTCAATTCAACTGTAAAATGATGAGACCTATCTGCCAATCTAGTACTGCTCTTAAATTCATAAAGTCTAGGTACCAAAGAGGATAACTCATCAAAACAATTACCATGGGCATACTTATCAGATTAAGAAACTGTTAGCATAGAACTTATGGTTACATCTAGCCAATTCAACTGTAAAATGATGAGACCTATCTGTCAATCTAGTACTGCTCTTAAATTCATAAAGTCTAGGTACCAAAGAGGATAGCTCATCAGAACATTTACTATGAACATACCTATCACATTAAGCTGATAAGAACAGATACTACACTTTGAATTCAGTTCAAATATCGAGAACAATGCCAACAGCGGTTAAAGCGCCATTTTTCAGACGCAGTGTATCGAACGATGGAAAGCGAGTAATAAATTAAGTAAAATAACATCGTTTGCTGAAGAAGTTTTAAATTATTATTATTAAGAGAAATGTTCGTAAGAAAATAAAAGAAAGAAAAAATAATGGAAGATATATGTGTTTAACTTCTGCCAATACTTCATAAATAATGGACTATTCCGTTTTGATCTGTGGAAAAAGGAAAAAAGACATAACTTGATTTCAGTGAGAAAATGAAAGAAAGAAAGAAAGAAGTGTTTAAATGTTGTTTAAGCGAAATGGAAAAAAATATTTATTTGTACCCACTTCTTAAAATAACGATCATCATTCATATTTATTGGTATTTTTCAATGTCTCCAAGTCGCTACCGAATGTGACACAAGGTCAGTTTATAGTATGTTTAATGGCAATACCGTGGAATAATTTTCCAAGCCTCCTCAACACTTCCCAATTTAGGGACGCCTTAGGCACGGGCCAATAACCCCCTCCCACCCCCACCCCGAAGCAGAGATACCAGTATTCATATTTATGATTGTTATTGCAATATTTTATTAAAGTTGTTAAGCTCAAATAATAAACAATGCGATAAGGTTTTTTTACGAGCGCTTTATTGTCATAGAACTCACCATGAGCTTATTCAATCATATACTTAAGAATTAAGGATCAAGAATAAGATTCATCCGAAGATGTAAATAGAAAAACCGTGAAATCTTAACGGGTCTTTCTAGCATATCAATTTAATTGTCCAGTACAAGACTGCGTCTCTTGTCGTAAACCGATAATCTGCATTGGGCACATGACAACAACCCTATCCCGAAGGTTGATATATCATAAGTGATATCAGGGCCATAAAAAGCATGATGACAACCACAAACAACAACCTGAATCCATGAGAAAAATCCTGGTTGTTAACATCATCTTCCTAAAAAATCTGACTGCCGACGACAACCAAACATAATCGAAACTTTTTTATGTAAAACTATTCAAGCCAAGCATAGACCTTACTTTATTTAATAATAGTTTGAATGTGTTTGTGTTCTTTTAAGAAGATTCTCAATATAAAGTCTTTCCGTATCATCTCAAGCAGCCTATGATTACTACTATTTGTACACAATACATCTTAGAAGAAGAACATTGAAAAACATTACAAACGGACCCCTTGAAAAGGACTTACAAATTAGCTGACAGCGCTTGCGGTAATAAACATTACGGACAATGTCTGTACTCAGTGGTGGCATCCTACCGCTTCGCACAAACCGGTTCTTAAAGTTGTAAAGGCTTAGCGAACCGGTTGTTGGATTATCCGAAAATAATCGTATATATTAATAGCCGATTGCCGAGGTAAAATGTTAGTTAGTTACGCTACCTTCGTGCGCCCGCGTAATAATACCCCCTACCACAATAATAATGGTTTCCGTGATTACGTTGAAAACGTAACGAGAAATTACCATAAACATGTTGTAGCCAGAACTATCCAAAAAAGCTTAAAAAAATATAGTTAATACCATTGCTGTAAATTCTGTAGAGGCTGAAAGAGGGTTTTCTGTGATGAACATAATTGATTCTGGCAAAAAGAAATCGTTAGAAATGTGGCAAAATCTTCGAGTCAGAAATTTGATAGATCTTCCATTGGATATTTGAGACGTCAGCAATTCAGTTCGAATGTGGCTGATCACACTAGAGTCAAAAAGTCTCATACTTCAGAACAGAAATATAACGAGAACTGAATTTCAATCTGGAAATATCTTAAATAAATGTTTTCTATTAAATTATCGAAATGGTTTAATCCTTTTTGATACTATAAAGTGAATTGTATCTATTCTTATTTTGATGAGAAAAAAAGGGCCGAATAGATTCCTAAAGATTACCTGCCTTTATTAAAACGATTATTTTCAACCAATTTCAGGCCTTTTCGTTTTAAGAGAGAAAATTCTCATCGCCAAAATCTGAGGCAAGGAATTCAAATCCTCCATAATTGTAACTGAGTGATCCCCAAAAACCAAATATAAACCAGGTTGCTGGTTGGTAAGGAGAATTATGATAACCGCTTTGATGCCTGCCCGTGTTGCAATTCTGTCGGCTTGGCACCCGGCTGTTGTGTAGATCCGAAATCAACAAGAAGGTCCGAGCGAATTCATCCGTGAGGGGATTGCTCCTTATCCACCTCCTCCAAGGTTGGCGGAAATGACGTGGTCAACAGCAAACGAGGACGTCGAACCGTTTTTAGATACGAGCGAGACTCGCCGCTGCAATCGTAATTGGTCGGCTTTTATTTAGGATGCTGCAAATTCGTTTAACGGAGCCGATTCAACCGATCCCGGATGATTTTTTTTAATCATTTCGCCCCAAGCAAGGCAGTAAAGCCACTAAGATGCAAGAGGTCACTGAGTGTTAGAAAAAAAAACTACTAAGAGAGAACAATAAAAGTACAAGTATTTGAAACTGGGCGTCTACTCAAATATGGGTATCCACTAAAAAAAAAAGTGTTTCTGTGATAAAATCTAATCCAACACATTTTCGATAATACTTTAGGAAAATAATATAAAAATAGCCACTTAGGCAGCATAACTTCATTCATGCATGTTTCATTGAATAATATAGACATATTATATCTATTTAATTTTATAATAATCCTTTCTACTTTTCTAATTAGCTTCTTGATGTTGAGTGGAAATTCATTAAGGAAGGTGCTGTAGTTTTTGTTAATCCATGGTATATATATATATATATATATATATATATATATATAACAATGAATCATTCATACAAAAAGTAAATTAGTAAAGTTAATGATATAAAATGGCGAAATCCCTTCGCTGATAAAATTTTAAAGATGCATTAACCCACTAATCACTCGATGAATGATCTTTTTTTTTTTTTTTTTAAATCATAAACTGTATTATGTCTTCCTTAAATATGCAAGTACTTTCGACAGTTACTCCAGTCATCATCAGGCATAGAAACTACTTTGTTTTGGGTAAAATTCAGGTAGCATCCGAGACGAAAAAATATAATGCAAATCGAAATATGTTTAATTTTTAAAATATGTTATTGATAACAGATAAATTTGTGAAGCGTGCAGTCTCAACGGGTTGAATTCCATATATATATATATATATATATATATATATATATATATATATATATAAGTTATTACATTCGAACATACAAGTTACCACTACAGAAATGCGTATTTGTTTCGATGTCCAATTCAGGCATCTCATCGGATGGTGATCAAAGATAGTTATAAACGATTTTTAATGCTACTTATAAAACGTCGCCTCTTTTTATATTTTTAGAAAT